AAAATAAATAAAATAAATAAAATAGAGAGGCAGAGGCACAGAGACAGGGCGGGTTGTTCTCTGTGTTTCCTGTTGTCGCAATAAAACTCAGCTGATCATTTCCATGGAGTACCTTCATTCTTGGACCACGTATTTCTGTCTTTGTTAAATAAATATTGCCATAACACTATCTAAACTCCCAGTGGATGTTTTTGTCAACAAAGGCTTGATTTCCCCCTCCCCCCATTCACATCAACTGGTGTTGGAGCCGGTCTTTGTGCAATTTTTTTTTTATTTTAACTTTTTACCCACTATGTATTCATTGTAGATGTGTATATCTCTTCTGATGCTTGGTAGTGTTGTCGAGGTTCTGGAGAAACACGGTCTTAAGAAACCCATCTCATATGTGAGGAACAGCCAGAACAGTGAAGAGGAGGCCCACCATCTAATGGTCAAGCTGTGCCGTCACACTGGTCGCAAGTACGAACTTAGCAAGAACCACGTTAATGAACATGAAGCTGTCAAACAAAYGCCTGTCAGGATCTCACCATGATTTTTTACATGTGTCCCCAGGAACCCTCCAGTGGGTTCGGCAGTGTGGAGAGGTCTTCTAGAGGACCTGCTTAATATGCAGCAGAACGCTTACACTTGTCTGAAACCAGAGACATGTCATCAGGTATCACAGCTCGACAAAAATCACAAAACCTACAAAGTGCACAGAATACTGATTCCTGCTAAAACTAAGCTTGAAAATTTATGCCATGCTGTTTGAGTTTACCATTAGCAAACATAACAACACTTCTGTAACTCACACACCCAACAAACAGATGAAGTATGATGCTTGCCAAGCAGGAGTAAAACTTTTGTTCAGCCACAGATGATTTCTGCCTGTGATAAATCTCCTTTTATTTCCCTCCTGTGGCAGGTCTTTGTGGAGTCCCTGCTGTGCTCCAGCCGCGTGGAGAACATCCACCTGGCAGGGCAGTTTATGCACTGCTCCAAGGTATATTGAATAAAGCTCACTTCACGAAGTTYCACTCAGACCGCCCGCTGTGTTCTCCAAATATTAAACCGCTTCTAATGAATCTTCTATTCTATGCTCTTATTTATGTTTCCAGGTGAGTCAGGATGTTCCCGTCAGCCTGTCTTTCCGGGGAAAAGGTTACAGTCTSAAGGTGGCCTACGACAACAGCGTGGAATTGGTGTTGGCTGCTGCCAGAGAGTACTTCAACTCCTCCACGGCCCTAACGGACCCCTGCATGAACCTGGCCAGGTAGGAATGCCAATGAGGAGGAGTGAGAAATGTTTGAACCAGTTCTCACTACTGCTCAGAGATTATTCAGATTTGGAACCTGACTTCAATTTGAAATGGATCCCCGATAAGTTTTAACATTAGACTTTATTTGATAAACATTTATTTGAACTGTAAAATAAAGGCTGTTAAAAGTCGATCATCAGATATTGTCCAAGATTAACCTTCAGGGTGGATATAGCTCGCTAGCAGCCCCGCACCGAGGACCTATCCACGTCATCATTTACCC